ATATGGCATCGAAACAAGAATGCATCTTTGTAGTGAGGAATTGTTTTTGACCACAAGTAAAAATCTATAATACATAATTATTGCTCTAATCTTTTTTTGAATTAATGCTATGAACGCTAAAATTTACATACATATCGGTCTCATTATATATATATATATATATATATATATATATATATATATGTGTGTGTGTGTGTTCACCATTATATATTAACAATTTTAGAGAATTTGTACGGTATCAATTGAGTCTTCTGTTTGCTCTGAAAGAATAATATAATGAATATTGCGTTATCACCCGTGAAAGGAAAAAAAAATCTAATTTCAATTTATCGCAATATTTTTCCACTGTAGAATTGTCCATTTAATCATTTAAAATGTTTTACAAAGTGAAACAAACCATTGAAAAAAACTATTTGAAATAAGCCTTTTCCTTTTTTTTTTTATCTTCGTTCAAATGAGTCACCCAACTTGACAACCCCAGTCCCCCAGACATTTACTTTTTATACTTTCTTATGTTAGGCATAAGAACTACATATTTGCATTTCCTTGTATGAGCAAATGTGAGAATTCTTCTATCTGCATGTGTGTCTCTACCTGTGATTTGGGAGTCAAGTGCAGGCATATTTTATTTGTGTACGTTTGTGTTTGGGTGCAGAACTTTTATTCTCACTATATTCCACAGTTTTCAATCGCTCCTCTCATTATTTTCAACATCCGCTAATTTCCTATTTCTCTTTTGCATTCATGTCTCGTGGCAGTCTCTGAAATCTGCTGCCCTCCAGTCCCTGTAACCTCAGCTTCCTTCGAAACAGAATTCCATCATCTACGATTTCCACTAGCTCTTTTATTCTCCACCTTTTCATTTCTTTATTCACTTTTCTAAAAAAAAATAATGAAAAGAAAAATATTTTCATTTCTAATGTTTTTTTTTATTTCTATTAAAGGCAAAATATTACATTTTCACTTTTACTTTCACTTTTACTTTCACTTTTACTTTCACTTTTACTTTCACTTTTATATCTTTCTGGTTCTATGTAACATGACCCTCAAAAATTCAGTTTATAATGATATAAAAAATAAAACATTTCTACTCGTTTAAAAAGACTAAGGTACGTAAATATATATCATAGGCACAATTGTTTTCCACCAATTGTTTTCTACCATTACCCGCAGAATTTTACTTTCACATTACTTTAACTATACGTTCACTTTTACTTTCAGTGTAACCATATTACTTTTACATGTACTTTCGATTCTGTAAGATTATGAGAAATTTTCCAAACTGCATGATATGTACACAGTAAGATGAGAGTAAAATCTTTGACAAATCGTTTACTCCCGCTAAAAAATACTACCAAAATACTATTAGGTCGTTCGGAAAATAATGTCTGATTTTAAAGTTATTTTCTAATGGTGCTTTAATATAATATTGTAATAGTTGCACAAAAATACATTACTTATTCCTAAGGATTAAACTGTCCGCTTTGTTAATTTTATATTGATCCCCTTCAGAATTGTTTTCTCAAATACGTGACGCACCCCGTGTATCCTCGTGGAAAATAGTATCAGGTTGTTTGGGAAATAATGTCCGATTTTAGAATAAGTTTTATTTAATTGTGTTCTCATATGTTATTATAATAGTTGCACAAAAATATGTATCTCATTTCTTTGTTAATTTCATATCAGTCTATTTCAGAATGTTGTTCTCAAATATGTGAGTCACTCTCTGGAGATATTGGAAATTAGTGTCAGGTTTTTTGGAAAATTATGTCTGATTTTAGAATAAACCTTTTAATTATGGTCTAGTATATTATTGTAATAGCTGCACAAAAATAAATTACTCATTCCTAAGAATTAAACTGTCGGCTTTGTTAATTTTATATTGATCGCCTTCCAAATTGTGTTCTCAAATAGGTGATGCACCCTGTGTATCCCCCTGGAAAATAGTATAAGATTGTTCGGAAAACAATGTCCGATTTTAGAATAAACGTTTTAATTATGTTCTAATATATTATTATAATAGTAGTACAAAAATATATAACTTATTCCTAATGATTAAAGTGTCCACTAATTTCAATTTTATGCATTTTTCTTTCACCCTTGTTTCTCGCTCCCACACATACACGCTCACTAAAATTTTTTTTTTTTATACTCGCAGTTATATTTCTTTTTAAATTTGTAGGTCTGATGGATTGGATCGTAATTACGATTCCAATGCAATAAAATATAACCAGGGAATATTAGTGTTTGAGCATTTTATATTCTTGGTCTGTCATGGACATTGAGTTCTACCTGGATCTATTCTCTTGAGAATTTATTATATATATATATATATATATATATATATATATATATATATATATGTGTGTGTGTGTGTGTGTGTGTGTGTGTGTGTGTGTGTGTGTGTGGCCTTCTTTGTAAATCATTAGCGGGTCTTAAATGCAACTTAAGATTATCGCATAAACATATATATATGTGTCTGTGTTTATATATATATATATATATATATTTATATATATATATATATATATATATATATATATATATATATATATATATATATATATATATATATATAAATAAAAAAAAGAACAGCAAGATATATAATCCTGTGTTCTTATAGATATTTTTTTTTTTTACAAAATAGTGCTCAATGTAAATTTACAGAACATTAATATTAGAAATTAATTGATTTAAAATGTGTTTTTTTCGCTACACAGTTCTAACCATGTTTCAAAAAACAGAAGCTAAAAGCCCTGAATTTAATTTTTGTAATTAAATTAAAGACATTAGTTCCATTTCATTCTCAAGCGAATTTTTGGAGTAACTTTTTTAAAATTTTGGGTTTTAAATACACAGCTTTTAAAATTACAAGGTTACAGATAAATCTTTTTTTCTAGAGCTGGGTTTTCAAAATGTCTATAAAATGTATCTACGTTTTGGGTCGTTGATGTTAGATTATATATATATATATATATATATATATATATATATATATATATATATATATATATATATATATATATATATATATATATATATATTTATATATATGTATGTATGTATGTATGTATTTCAGGAGGTTAAATCCAGGTAGAGTGAAATGGCGCGAAATTAAAATATAAAATGGCGACATTTTGACCATCGCACCCTGCAGATAAACATGCCTCACATGAACTGAAAGATTTTGAATTTTAATGTATTTTTCGATTCTGCATCTTCGAAATTGGAATAATCCATTGCATAATGACTTGTGATAAGAAATGAAAACTGTAAATAATGGTGGTTCAATGGATTGAACATGACGAAACACCTAGCAATTTCAAAAACTGAAATTACACGAATAATGGCTGCTCTCTGGTGATCTGTCATTGGCATTGTACTTGACATCTTTTCTGTATCTAACCAATGCGTAAGTTCCTACGTTTCTTTACAGCCACATTGATGTAATGTACATTAACATAAGCAAAGTACGACCGGGTCTGATTAATCGACGAGGTCCAGTGCTGCTTCATGGCAATGCTCGGCTACATGCAACCAGGATGACCCTGTTAAAACTCACCGTGCCTTTGCAATATTCCCTGATCATAAGTCACAAATCTGCCAAATTTGAAGCTGTTTTACAATTTTTTTACAGCCTAAAGTCATTCTTTTCCAAAGTAGATACAGAAACTGCAAATATTTATTGGAGTCCAAACCTTTCGAATTTTATCGTAAAGTCATAAATAAAATAATAACTCGATGGCAGAAATGTATAGCCGTTGAGGTTTTGTATTTTGACTGGTTTAAACACTGTTTAATTAGTTTAATTCAGGATTAAAAGTTGATTCTAAAAACGGACATTAAATTCCGAGCAACTAAATTTTATTTTCACTTTCACTTTTACTTTCACTTTAAGAATTAAACGTTTATTTTGTTGTTTTTTCTTTACCCCGATTCATCTTCATTCTTTTAATACCGCGAAACTTTGTTAATGGTTTGCGTTGTCGTTTTCTTTTCTCCGTTATTTATTTTCTACGCAAACGCAAATTCGGCTGATCATATTTGATGGCCTCTTCATTTAAGTTGCTGTTTTCTGTTTGTGTAATCTTGCATTTATCGGATTCTATCAGTTTCCTACTCTTCTGCATGTTGCTATTTTCCTAAGAACTTTATAAAATTCGATTTTCTTTTCCCCTTCTTTCTGTTTACGCTTTTCCATTTTAGTCCTCATTTCTTCTTTATTTTCCTTTCTTTCTTTTCCGCGCTATTGTTCTTTCCTTCTTTCTTTATCGTTCGAAATCGTTGTCACTTAAATGGTAATTATAATATTCTCTATTTCGAAACACTCACTTGTCTTTCGTCTTTCTTCTCTTTTATTCTTCCTCAAGTTAATATTTACGCGTCTGTTTAATAATTGTTTTAATTTGTTCCTATTTAGGAAAAAATAGCTTGTAATTTTTTTTTACTGGAAAAATAATTTCTGACATTTTTGTTTATTTCTTTCGCATTGTCTTTTACTCTAATTAAACTTCTATTATTTTTCCTTTTACATTTTCTTTTATATATTTTCTTTCTTGAAACTTACCTTGATTTCAACCCGTCATTTGATTTCTACCTTTTATTGATTATCTCTCTCTCTCTCTCTCTCTCTCTCTTTCATTCTTTGTTTATTCTACTTTTTTTGTTTTTCATTTTATATTTTATTCTTTTTCATTCTCACTTTCCTTCTTTTTCTTTCTACCCCACATTTTTTTTCATTCCACTTTTCATTCTTTTTCATTATACCTTTCATTATATTGGTTTGGTGCATAATTATCAGGCGTTTTTTAAACAATATTTATTATGAAAAAAGGAACATAACAATTGAACAATAACATTTTTAAATAATTATTCCGGCGCGTATGATTATCGACACACATTTTTATAACCTGAAAATAAAACAATATTTTTATTTAAAAAAGTAAACAAAACACAATACTTATTAACAAATAACTTGCTAACAAAAACGCCTGATAATTATGCACCAACATAATACATTTCATTATTTTTATTCATTCGTTTTCATTCTCCCGTTCAATCTTCATTTCAATTTTCTTTTCATTCCTTTTCGCACAACCTTTCATCCTTTTTTCATTTACCTTTTTATTCTTTCTCAGTTTCCATTTCATTCATTTTCATTGCCCTTTCATTCTATATTTCATTCTATGTTATATTCTCCATTCCATTATTTTTCATTCTGCTTTCAATTCTTTCATTATTTTTCATTCTCCCTTTTGTTCTTTATGATTCTACTTTCCATTCTATTTCATTCTATATGTTTTTTATTTTTAATTCTCACTTTATTTCTGTTTCATTCTAAATTCCGTTCTTTTTCCTACTACATTGCATACCTTTTCATTCTACCTTCGATTCTTTTTCGTTCTTCCTGTCATTCATTTTCATTCTTTAAATTCTCACTCTCATTCGTTTTCATTCCCCCATTCTTTCTTTTTCATTCTACCTTCGATTCTTTTTCGTTCTTTCTGGCGTTCATTTTCATTCTTTTAATTCCCCCTCTCATTAATTTTCATTATACCTTTCTTTATTTTTCATTCTACTTTCGATTCATTTTCATTCTTCCTGCCGTTCATTTTCATTCTTTTAATTCTCCCTTCATTCGTTTTCATTTCTCCTTTCTTTCTTTTTCATTTTACCTTTCATTCTTTACAATTCTTCTTGTCATTCATTTTCATTCTTTAAAGTTTCCCTCTCATTCGTTTTCTTTCTATTTCATTCTACGTTTCATTCTATTTTTCTTTCCTCTTTTCATTCAGTCTCAGATTTTTATATTCTTCAGTTAATTCTTTCAGTTTATTTCTTTTATCTTTTTCCTGGTTCTTTCTGCTAACTGGTAAACCGCTTTAATATCGACTAATATTTAATTTCATGATCATTCCAGTGTTTGTTAAAAACGTTTTTTAGTTGGTTTTTTTTTTCTCGTTTGATTCCTTTTTCTTCTTACCTGGTGTTCGCTATTCAGTCACGGTTTGTATTCCTCCCACCCTTCAGTTTCCATGTCTATTCTTTTGGCTTTCCTTAATTTTAATCTATTTTTGCAACTCTTTCTTTCCGAACATTTCATCGGTTTTTGTTCGTCACTTCATCTTTGTTTCTTTCCCATTATGCGACATCTCTCCCTTAAAAAAAACACCCTCAAATACATCATGTCCCCTGACTTTTTATTTATTCACCGTTCTGATGATCATACGCGCCAGCTTCTCCCTTGCTTTGTGGATGCATACGTGTAAATGTTTCCCTAACGTTTTTTTCCTGTGTGTGCAATCTTTTCCGATAGTGTGTTAACTAATTTTTCAAAGTATTCGATGCCAAAGAAAACAAGAAAAAATGTTAGTTAGACAGTCTTTCTTATTTTCTTTTTCTATTATCTTTGTCCAACGAATTATTCTGAGTGATCCATATCCGATGCATTTCATATCGAAAAAAAAAGACTTTTTTTTTTATTCAATCCAAAGACATTGAAAGTTAACTTCGTATAATTACTAATAATTCTTATTTTAAAAGTATTTTATGCTTTTTATTTTTTCTTTCTTTTATAAATTTTCTTTTAAATCATTTTCTGGCATTTTCGTCATTTTTCCTACATGTATTTTTTCCTTAGTTATCATCCGTTGTTTCTTTTCAGCCTCTGTCGCCGCCTCTCCATTTTGCAGACGACACTAATATTTCGCGCTACTTTCGAATTTCACTTGTTTAATCATTTACTTCTTTGAGAAATATCTCCATTAACAAAGGTTATCACTGCGAAAAGTGAACTGGTTGTACCGGGTTCAATTTCTACTTGATACTTTTTTCGTTCACTTTCCCACAAATAAGCCAAGAAAAAAGAAATTAATTCAACATGCTTGCACCTACCGATGTAAAAGAACATAGGAGACTGTTCTTTTTTTGCCTTTAGGGAGCAACCAACATAGGAGAAAGAAAATCTGAATGTAAAATTTCTGCTCGATTCTTTGTCGTTCACTTGCGCGCAAATAAATGTGGAAAAATGAATTCAACTTGTGTTAAATAATAGTTTATTAGATTGTTTTTTTTTTTTTAGGAAGTGTATCTCTGTTCCGACTTCCTGAGGTTGGCCATGGCGTCAGAGACAAGCCATAATATCGAAAGTCGATTTTGATTGGCTGAGCTAGCGTGGGAAAAGAGATAAGAAACAGGTTTCAGAGAGTCGAGTCTTAACTGTCAGGAAATATAGACGTGTTCGCTTTCGTGTCTGAAATGGCTCCACAGTAAGCGGGGAACAGTCCTCACTGGATAGTTAGTACATGTCGACATTAATAAAATAGTCCAGTTAAAATTGTCTCTGTTGTATTCATTGCCGAACCAAATCAACTAGCAACTAGCTGGCCAAGGAAACACGAAATAAGGCTACCCCGACCAGGAGACTATGCAACACTTGCTTTCACCACTCAGTGTAAATGAACATTTGAGATTTTTTGCCTTGATGTAGAAACTTGTACAGGAAAATGACAAATCTGAATTCAAAAGCCAGGTTAAGGAGGAATGGGCTTCGTCAGGTTATGTTGCTTAAGACACACCGTTATGGCTGCAGTTATGGTTCTAATGAGTTACAGAACCTGGGGTGATCTTATTAATATTATTATTTTTGCCATCCGAGTGATTTTCATTTATTTTTCTTTTATCACGTTACTAGGATGTCGAAGTCTTTACAGTATTTAATATTGTTGAAGTTATCGCTAATATTTTTGTCGAGATTTACAAACTCTAAGTTTCATTCAAGTTCACAAACCATTCGATAAAATTTGAATAAGCTGACTTATCTGGAATATACTTTGACCAAAAAAAAAACCCTGTCTCCGCGGTCTAATTAAATTTTTGATTTAATTTTATAGGACTTGTAAACAATGTTTTTAAGAAAATTTATTTTCCCTTTTTAAAAACAAAGAATACATTCTTATGATTTCTTACTCTTGAGCATGCAACATACAACTGGTAATAATTCTCTGAAACGCAAGGCAAACTGTTTTCGCCAATGGCTGTTTTAGAGGGTGTGACGAATGGTGAGAGGGACGCACAGACCAACGGAAGTTACAGAATTTTATATATAGATTATATGTATTCATTTTTCCTGATGTTTTGATGCGGATAATGTCGAATAATCTTTCATAGCACATTTTGCTTCTAATTTAATCTGGTCATGCTGTAAAACTGTTTTATTACGTTATTGGAAATCTATTTCAAATTAGACACCACTGTGAGATGGAAAAATATCTATGGACGTATATTTGGATTACTCAAATGTTCCTTAAAAATATTTTAATGAAGGTCGTGTTGAACGGATACGCTTCTAGATGATTTCCAATTAATACTGTGGTCCCCAAGGGATTTATCCCTGGATCTACCTTCGATCTTTCCTTTACCAACGACCTTACCACTATCACCTGTTCTCAACTATTTACTCCTGTCTTATTAACAAATCCGACAGTCCCGACAAACTATAACTGGCAGCTGTTCTTGAAAATGACCCCCGTTTAGTAGTTAATCAGTTGTTAACATTAACGCCCACAAACATCGAACTTTTAATCACTATAGGGAACCTTTTTGGTCTTCTGTGGTTGATGTTAACCTCCATGATGGCAACTCATATTGCCTTCTTGCTTTCAAGTTTTTTTACTAACATTAAGTGGATTGGTTATATAGAATCAATTGCTAGGAAAGTAGGTTAAATGTTTCGTTCTATACAATATTTATCTCCAGAACCTAGAATACGTATTTATAAATCTAACATTCGTCCATGCTTTGAATATTCCTGCTACATATGGCCCAGTGTTCCAGCTGCATATTTAGAGACTCATGATAAAATCCAAATATATATTTGAGGCTTCTTCAGGACTCGATGAATCACTTAAATTTGATATCTCAAATCCTCTTAATAATTTCTATCCCTTTTATATCCTTGTTTGGACCGACATCTAATGCTGTGAATGGAATGGCTTGGAGATAGTAGTCGTGGCTCGTGGGGGCACTGTCCTAAGGACATGGGAAACTTGGATGAGTTACAGCACGGAATTTGTGAAGAGCGGCGATATATAGAGTCAAATTTGTTACGTCACGTCAAGGTTGCCCGTTGGTTGAGTTGGTATGTTGCTTGCGTCGTATTGTAATGTACCGGGTTCAATTCTCGGTAGTGGAAGCTTACTGTTGATGAATCTCAAATATAAGAGGAATCGGCAGTCTAGTGCTTTCTGCATTCTGCTGAGGTTTCTTCTAGACTCAATGAATTAATAAGTTATTATATATATATATATATATGTGTATATATATATATATATATATATAGGAAGTACAATTTCAATCAAACAAGCTTGGTCAAATAATTTATACATATCATTTCGATTAGTTTTTCGTTGCTATTCTTTCGAATTACGGATAAATTCATTGGTAGCCTCAGAAAATTGATTAAGAAAAATACCAAAATTCTCTTTCAAATAGATTTTATTTTCCCAAAGTACTTTCCGTCTCATTTATTATTATTATTATTATTATTATTATTATTTATATATATATATATATATATATATATATTGTTTATTATTATATTCATATATATATTATTTATTATATTTATGTATATATATTTATATATATTATTTATTATACTTATGTATATATATTTATATATATTATTTATTATATTTATATATATATATATTTATATATATATATCATTTTTTATAATTATATATTTATTTTATATATATATTATTTAATATATTTATATATATAATATTTATATTATATTATATATATATATAATATTTATATATATATATATATATATATATATATATATATATATATATATTTATTTATTATAAGTTCTAACATTCGAACTTTTAGTTACCACTACGAAAATGCATATTTGTTTCGATGGCCAATTCAGACATCCACATCGGTATGTTATCAAAGAGAGTATTAAACGAATTTTAATGCTTTTTAACTGTCTTTTAAATTAATATTTTGAACGTTTGAATTTATATTCGTTTTGTTCTCTTTACATTTGGATATCTATCTATCTATCTATCTATCTATCTATCTATCTATCTATCTATCTATCTATCTATCAATCTCTCTATCTATCTATCTAGCTATCTATCTATCTATACACACACAATAACATCTCTCTCTCTCTCTCCCTATCTATCTATCTATCTATCTATCTATATATATATATATATATATAGACATAAGAAGCCGATGAAAGAAATTCAAGACATAAAAAACAACAAATATAATAATATTGATAAGACTAATAATTCTTTTTTGTAATCTTTTTTTCTTGATAATCATCTGTCTTTATTCAACCGACTTTTGCAGATTCATTATATTTTTACATTAACAATATTTATTATAAATAAATGATATCTGGCCTTTAGAAAGAGAGTCTATCAGCTAAGTATAGCAAGTACAATTTACTACTATATTCTACAAGAACCTTAAAAAAAATACCCAAAGACAAAGAAGAAAAGCTTTAAATTGCGTAACGGTCGTCAGCATTTATTTTGATTAAACGCATGTTTTTTTCTGTTTAACTAAATATAAAAACAATTGTAGTTGACAATTAACTGGCGCATGACTGAAAAAATCTTTTTTTGATTATTTAGGATTGATTTGTTTAAATAATGCACTGACTATTATTTACGTTACTTAGTAATAATTATAAGTAAAAAGATGCCCTAAAATAAGTAACCAAGAAATCGTTTTAAGTTCTCTGAATATCGGGGTCATTTTATTTTCCATCATATAGATATAAGATTTGTGTGCGTTGTCTACATAAAAAATGTAAGTTTTGAATGTTGGCTGCGAGAATGAATAGAAAAATATACAAATTGACATGAAGATAGCGAAAATTTCTCTCTTTTTTGCCTATTGTTATTAATTCTTTTAAAATTCTATTCGCTCACTCACCAGTGTCTTTCTTAGATGTCATTTTCGCAAAGGCATGACCGTCGAAGAGACTGATCATGTTTATTTTCAGGATCAGAACTCTGAAAGAAAAGATATGACGGAAGAAAAAGAAGAATGGCAAGAAAGGCATTAAAGAAACCAGTTTCCGGACAATTGTTTCTTTCTTTGGTGACGAATTACTATTGCTGTTTAGTTGTTTTTTGTTTACTGTTTCATTTTGTCTTTCTTTTCGAGTTATTTTTATCATTTTCCAAAGAATTATCCCTTTCAGACATTTTAGACAGTTCGTCTGAGACATTTTTTTTTAAATTGTACTTTTATTTCACTTTCATTGTTGTCTATATCTTTTTCTGTTATTTAATTTTAGTCTTTTTTCTTTTTCTGTTTTTTTTTTTTTTTTTGATTGGCCTTTCACGTGTTCTTTATTTTCTTGCCATTGTTCTGTCCTCTTTCTCTCCTTTGTTTATTTTCTTTTCTCTTTTCGTTCTCCTTAGTTTTTCTTTGTTTCATTTCTCTCTCTCTCTTTCTCTCTCTCTTGCTTGTCCTTTCTTTCATTTTTCTTTCATTTTCCTCTTCATTGATTTTTCTTTTTATCTTTCTCTTTTTATCTTTTTTCATTTTATCCTTTTCCTCGTTTTTTTCTTGTTACGTCTGTTTACATTTTATATTTGGTTTATCTTTCGATCCATTTTATTTTCTTTCTTTTTTCACCTTTTACTCATTTTTTTCTTTCTTTTTCGCCCCATTCAAATTTCTTTCTTTTTCGATTATTTTCTTTCTTTTTTCTCTTCATCCGAATTTTTTATTCATTGTTCTCCCTATAGTTCCTTCTTTCTTTCTTTCTTTTTTCTTTCACATAACTGTTTTTCTTTCTTTCTTTCTTTTTTCTCTCCTTATTCTCTTTCTTTCTTTCTTTCTTTTTTCTTTCACATAACTCTTCTTTCTTTCTTTCTTTCTTTCTTTTAAGCTTCACTTTTCATTATCCTCTCCGATTGATTTTCAAGTTTTTTCTGTCCTTATTCTCTTTCTTTCCTTCTTTTTTTCTTTCTTTCTTTCTTTCTTTCTTTTTTCTTTCACATAACTCTTCTTTCTTTATTTCTTTCTTTCTTTCTTTTGATTTTTCTTTTTCTCCTCGAATGATCTTCAAGTTTTTTCTCTCCTTATTCTCTTTCTTTCTTTCTTTCTTTTTTCTTTCACATAACTCTTCTTTCTTTCTTTCTTTCTTTCTTTCTTTTAAGCTTCACTTTTCATTTTTCTTTTTCTCCTCGAATGATCTTCAAGTTTTTTCTGTACTTATTCACTTTCTTTCTTTCTTTCTTTCTTTCTTTCTTTCTCCTTATATGAAATTATTCTTCCTTTATTATACTTCATTTAATTCTATATATTTCCTTCATTTTCTCATTCATCCTTTTCTCGCTTCCGACTTTTTATATTTACTCTCTCTTATCTTCCTCTATGCCTTTTTTTTGTTATTATATTCTTCTCATTTTCTTTTCTTATCTTTTCCTTTTCTTCCATTTGTATCGGTCCCCTTCATTCAATATTTTTCTCTCAATTCTTCAATTAGATTTCCTTTATTGATTCCTATCATTCCCCCCCCCTTCGACCCCACTTCACTTTTGCCAGACCAGAGAGATTTCTTTCTTTACCAAATAACCATTACATTTTCATTTTCTTTCTTTCATTTTTTATTTGATTCCGTTTCGTTTCATCTAATTCCGTTCCATTTCACTGTTCCCTTTCTTGTTTTTAAGCCAACACGATTAAATCTCGTTTTGAATTGATGGCAGACTCACTGTAAAATGCTGATAGTGCGTCATTCTAATTCTATTCAACAATTCGTCATTCTGTTGCAAATTTTTGACTTTTACCTTAAACTGTTTACTTGCAAACAATATTGTCCTTTTACCGCTTTTTAACAAACACTTTGAAGAAAGAGGAACGTTGATTCGTATTGTATGTCGTCTTATTCTTTTGTAACATGGAGGACATGGATGCGAAATTTTGATTCATTTTGCTTTACTTAAGTGCTGCATACAATATATCATGGAGGACATAGTGTTAGTTACAACAACCTTTTCTTTCTTTTCCTAGCAAATATTAGACGCGCCATAAATAAATAAAAATATGTCTTGCCGCCGTGAGATACACAAAGTATTTTACTGAAAATAACATATGAATTAAAATCCGTCATCAACGAAAAAATAGATTTTAACATATCATGAACATAATATTGACAATAACATATATTAACAAAAAATGCACCACAACTAGAAATACCGTCAGTCAGTTATGTGCCATGTGTGATAGACGAGGTAGGTGATCATGTATCTTTCGAGGCAGATTTTTTCCGCAGTAGGTTGTCATTTCTCTCTGCGGTAGACCAGTTGACATCCCAAACTCTAGAACCTGGTCTGTCCTGCTATTTAAACATAGCTTGGTGGGGAGGATTCATACCTTTCCCAAGTCAGTTATGTGCTATGCGTGATACACGCTTAGTCGATCATGTATCTTTCAATTAATGAGGGACAAAGCAGATTTTTTTCTCGAAGTAGGTTGCCATTTCTTTCTGCGGTAGACCAGTTGCCATACAAGAACCCGGTCTCTCCTGCTATTTACCCATAGCTGGGGGGAGGAGAGGATACATACCTTTCCCAAGGGTATTAGCACGTAAGTGAATGTAATGGATTCAATGTGCCATGCGTGATACACACTTAGGCGATCATGTATTTTTCGATACATTTCTGACGAGGCAGATTTTTTCCCGTAGTAGGTTGCCATTTCTTTCTGCGGTAGATCAGTTGCCATCCAATAACCCGGTCTTTCCTGCTATTTACCCATAGCTGGGGGGAGGAGATGATTCATACCTTTCTCAAGGGTATTAGCACGTAAGTGAATGTAATGGATTCAATGTGCGATGCGTGATACACACTTAGGCGATCATGTATTTTTCGATACATGACTGACGAGGCAGATTTTTTCCCGGAGTAGGTTGCAATTTCTTTCTCCGGTAGACCAGCTATCATTCATGGCTATAAAACCTGATCTGTCCTGTTGTTTACTCATAGCTAGGTGGACAAAAATAGAAATTCTTACCTTTCCCAAGTTATTAGAACGCTATGGATTCGACGAATTCGAACCCGGCTGTCCGATTTCTCAATCCGAGTCGCTAACCGCGACTCCGCTGTTCCGCCTGTAAAGGCGTATAAAAGAAACACACACACACACTCACGTCACACCTCATTTACGTCAGAGCATTCTTTGCCTCCGTAACCGCACTTACTAGTTTTACAAAATTCAACCATTGTCTCTACCTACCCCGATGCGGACTTAGGAAAGTCGAAAGCTTGGGCCTTATTTCTTGTACTTTTTTTCTGATATGAAATTCGGTCAATTTCTGACGAAATTTTCTGCGTCTAAGAGATGGATTCTTCGGAATTTGGTAAATTAATCTACTAAAAAACATAGGTCGTTTTAATAGTATTTGGTTTAAATGCATATATATATATATATATATATATATATATATATATATATATATATATATATATATATACTACTACTATACTATTACTCCTCTCCTGTCGAGATTCGACGTTGAGGGTCAACAGATCAGTTCCCATGAAACCGACAGCCTGACAACAGCACATGAGATTTGATTATAGTGGTGGTTTCGTGCAGGACCATCCACACTTTTTATTCAATGAATACAGAGACCTGGTGCACTACGTGTCACAAGGTCCGCAAACGACCCTCCGCAAGTTTTGAATTCAGAGTTATCCTTCTCCTAGACCAGTTGCCATCCAAGGCTATAGAACCCAGTCTGTCCTGCTATTTACCCATAGTTGTTATATATATGCATTTAGGACAAATACTATTAAAACATCTAAGTTATATATATAGTTAATGCAAAACTAGGTAATCCGTATGGGTAGACCCAAGGGGATGATAGGGAGAGCTCAATGTAAATTCAGAGCAGATATGTTTGAATAAAAAACAACACTTTAAGGTTCCATGTAATGAAATAAACTA